CCATTTTCCACATTTACAATCAAATGGTCCTAAAATTTTGTTTTAATGGATTTTTTAGACAGTCATATTATTATTATTATTAAGCTAAACTAAACAATAGAGAATCAAACCAAAATCATTCAAGTATTTCTAGGATTCAATTGGACCAACCGAACCAACTAAATAATTTTACAAGGAAAGAAGAAAATAATGCATCTGATTAATGCGGTGGCGCTGGTTCAAGTGGCGATCAGGAATGGCGGCGGCGGCGTACTGGGGGCGGAAATCGAATTTGGAACGGTTTGGTGGTTTGTCTATGCAGGGATCTCATGTGTTTTAGTGCTCTTTGCCGGAATTATGTCGGGATTGACGTTGGGTCTCATGTCCCTGGGCCTCGTCGAACTCGAGATCCTCCAGCGCAGCGGCACACCCTCGGAGAAAAAACAGGCTGGTTGGTTCATTTCCCGATTTACGCATTTCCATTTGATCGTGAAATTGTTTGTTTTGTTCTATATAATATAATTGAAATTTGAGCTTGCTTTTGATTGGATTGGTTTTATGAGAAATATGTGATTGTTGTATGTATGATAGACTTGAGTTTATGGTTCTAACTCGATACAGATAGAATATTTATTTATCTGATATAATAAGTAGAATAACATGTTGCTATTATTAAATACTAGTTGAATTGGGATTAATTGTTAAACTTTATCTTTTCAAAGGAGTTCGAGCATTTTTGGCTAAAGTTTAAAGTTACTTTTTCACAAAGAATGTTATGTTAGTATTTACTTCTTTTTATACTTAGCCAAACATATTTTAGGAAAACTCATGTGAAAAAATAAGGGGCCGTTCTCTTCGTGTTTCAGTTTTGTGTTTTGAATTTGTTTTGTGTTTTGTGTTTTGAGTGTCTGTTTTGAAATTTCTGAAAATGCGTTCTTTTTGCCATTCTGAAAAACAGTTTCCGAAAACATAAAAATGGAAAACGCGTTTACTTTGAAATTTTGAGAATTTTTTTAATAATATTTTATTCAAAAAA